CAGGCAGCTGAACTAATTAAGCAGCTAAAATCAGCTTGTTAAGACTTATATTATTAGAAAGACCTGAACGATAAACAAAAAGATGAAATATTATGAGCAGTGAGCACATAAAAATAAACTAAAGTTGATTATGGGAGTATTTCATATTGTTATTTAGGATTATGAATCCAGATAATAAATGTTATATTAAAGCAGCAGGTACATGAAGTAGCAGCAGTGCTTAAACTAGATTAAAGATATTACATAAAAACAAATCAATTTGAGTCCATGAATTAAATAGCAATAGAAACATGCCATTTACAGAGTGGTGTCTTAGTAAAGATATTTTTAATACCAACTTCATAAAAAGTTGTTTTTTTTTTAGGTAAAACTTGTAAACTAAATGGTTTTTGTTAAATATCTCATACTTCAAAACTGACAATTTGGTGGCTATTCAGCTTTTCTAATAAACCTGTGTAGACTGTTTCACAAAAAACAGGAATGTAATGTCAATTTCATTTTAGTTTCTGCATATATAGACGATTATAAACATGTCACTAGAAAGACCTGAATCATAAACAAAAAGGCACAATATTATGATTGTCTTTTTGTAAGGTAAGAGCTAAGATTAGCTCTTTTAAGACAATCTTAGCAGTTCAGTGTGGCTCTCTTTGCAAAAAATGCCAACCTGTTCCAGGGTTCAACATGATCAGCAGGGATAACTGTTAGCTTTTTGTTTTAAAATTAAATTAATTACATCATGTTTTACATTTTTGATTAAAGCCTGATAAGTTTTATTTTAATTTCAAATTGTCATCACTTCGTACCAGCCCATGCCTGCCCTTTTTCATTTTGGACATAACGACAATAAGACATTTGTAGTTCAACATATACGCAATAAATTTCTGTAATTGTGCTTACGTGATGCTTTTGTCAAACACCTTGGTGCGAAACACTTCCTCCTGGTCCAGGCTTATGGTGCAAAATGTACAGAGATCCTTTAGTCGATTTGGACCTGAAACTGGACCTAGGTTCTTGGCTTCACCTAAAAAAAACAAATGTGAGAGAACCTTTATCATACAAGCACTGGGAAACATAAACACCATGTCTGAGACCATCTGAGAACTTTCAACAAGATTTTTTTTTATTGTAGTGAATTAGTGGATTTGGTTCTAGCCTTTTCTAAATAAAAAGGTACAAAGACCATTGTCTGACACTGGGGAAAAAAAAAAAAAGAGGCAGGTGATTTTTATCTGAATCTCTCTCTTCACAACCATACCACTTTAAAAACGCTACTTTGATGTTTGACATCCTCATGTTCATTCGGGGCCAGGAGTCCCTGGCAAATGTTAGGGCAAACTGCAGAGCGGATGTAGCTGAAGTAGACTCGACGCTCATATGTGGTTAAAAACATGAAACATTGACTTCCTCAGCATAACCAATGGCGACAGAACAGCGCTGATTCACAAATGACAAACACCTTTGTAACACGCACCACTTCCACAACTTTGCAGACAGACACAGATTAAATGCCTAGGGGTGGGAAGCGACACGTAAATACTAAGAACCAGTGCCGGACAAGCTGAATTTGTGCTGTCAGAACGCTCCCGTCCTGAGACATGACAGATTTAGACAGCAGGATTAAAGGTAGTGAGTCTCTAAATTAATCCTCTGGCTTTGAAAAGTATCCTAAGCCCAGGCATAGACCGTGTTAAGAAAAGCCACAGATGAGATCAGCTTTTAGAAGACTAATAATAACAGAACAAGGCTAACCTTAGGAATAGTGGGTAAAAACGGTCAATGGGCGTATATCAGGATGCCCCAGAGGGTGAAAAGTAACAATGCAAACAGCTACGCAAGAAGCAGTGTGGCGCAAAAACTCTGCAGTCATCTCCTTTCTGTGACAACATTTTCACGAACTGAAATCCCTGATCTGAGGGGCAGAAAGGAAGCCCGAAAACAAAACAGGTTTCACCGTCTCCTTAAGTGTGAAAATGAATAAGCACACATCTTCATAGAGTACCATCTCCATTGATGTATACATGCTTAAAGGAAAAAGGACCAAATGTGAACAAGGAAGAATGGAGTTTCGCAAGACAGCAGTGAGTTACATGCCATGATAGTTCCTCAATTTTGTTCTGCTTAGTGTTTTCGCATTAATTCATAGTAGTGAAACTGACATTTGCCTTTCTATTGTAGGCCTATGCATTAGACCCTTGCACCTTTTTACCTTTAAGTACAAGAACGTTCTAGCAACTTTTCAAATGTCTGAGAGGTCGACTCTGACCATAAGGACTTTTACTAATAAAGAAAAATGTCTTCAAAACGTAGTTTAAACTATGATTTATTTTATTTACTGATGGCGCTGAACTTTCGACTTAATTATAAAAAATAACCGTAAACACCGATATAAAACGGCTAATGGCAATTTGTATATAATCTGATTGATGAGGGCTATCAAATCAGCAGGAAAAAAAATGTGCTGCATCATAAAAAAAACAGCACAATTTGAATCTCAAAATGTGTCCAGGCTCCAAAGTATTTAGTCTATTTAGATACAAAAAAATAATATTCATACACACGTTAACATGAGTGGGAATCGGACCCCCCTGAGTTTACTGTTTTGTTTTGGGGTTTTTTTTACATAATTTTTTGCTGTACTTTAATAACATCTTCTTACCAAATGTAATGCAAACATAAGTATTTCATATATGCATAAATTATGGCAAATAATGGGGAAGTGCAATTTAAACCCTTCAAGTTTAATATCCCCAGAAAACAGAGTAAATAACAGGAGATTCTGCAGATCCACTCAAAAGTATTTAGCAAAAATTGCAGCAGTTGCATATAAATCTCAATACACAATCGAATTCTGTGCGCTTTAATGATTTTTCCGTTCAGGTATATGTATTGCAGCATTGATTTCTATTTCTATTATCCCCAAACAAGACGTGTGATCATGTTAAAAATAATAAAGTGCAGGAATAAAGACAGAGGGTTGTACTGTATGATAAGATGACACACACATTGGTAAAAAAAATAAAATAAATAAGGGGAAAATTTAATAATGAAGGAAAGGTATGGGAATAGAGCTGAAACTCATACAGCAGCTGGGCCACAAATGGATGGGGACCACAATACTTTGTTGTACACCTGCACAGGGTAACGTTGAAGCTGAATGGGTTAGCTTACAGACGATGCAGTGAAGTGGTACATATTAGCTAGCAGCACTTTGTCACCAACGTTCACTGGGCTCACAATGCAGCTCGTCTTTTCAAAATGGGCTCATTTCGACACTAAAACGTTCTGTCCTCCGTTGCTTAAACCACCCAATAGTGGTTCCTGTGTCCAGTGAATGTGATCATTCACAACAAGCTAGTAGCTTCAGCTAGCATGCTAGGTTAACTTGACGTTAAACACCAGCAGGCAGAGTGCCCGTCTCTGCCTTCGCACTGGCGGCTGCTGAGCACGCCGCGCCCCTCCCCGTTGCCTGCTTCGGCTGCTCAGCTCCTCGACCGACTCCCCCCCAGCCCTCAAGCCGGAGCGAGACGCATCGGCCAGCCGGCGGAGAGTCATACTTACATATTTTACCCCGCAGGCTTTGTAAAATCCGAATCCTAGCGTCGTCCTCTTCCGCCATGGTCAGCGCTGAGTGTTGTTGCCGCTGCTCCGGTGCATTCAGTGCTGTTCTATCATATCCGTTTATGAATGCAAGCGGAGTGGAGGAAAGCCAGTCCCACCGCGGCGTCACGTCAACCCCCTTAGAAAAAAGAAAAGAAAAGAAAAAAAAAAACACTGGGGTCTAAAAAAACATTTGGCAAAATATAACACTTCCCCGGAAGTCGGTGTGACTTTCTACTGCAATGTGCAGCTGAGTCCTGAGTGGGAGTGAAGGTATCTCGGCTCGTTGTGCAATAACGCTTTCGGAGAACGCAGACTTGGACTTGTGGAGCTCGCTGACTAACTTAACTTATCGCGGACACCGCGCGGCTGCTCTGGAGAGCGTGCCGTGTCAATGTGTCACTAGTTATGAATGAGTTGACAACCGCCCATAGACAGATTACTGAAAGGATGAGGGAGGGAGGCGGAAAGATACCGCAAGGTGACTAAAATGGATTAAATTACACAAGAAAAAAGGCGTAACCCTTGTAGAAAACATTACAAATTAGGTTTGAGAGACTTTTCTGTAAAAAAAAAAAAAAAAAAAAAATTCAGACAATAAAACCCACCTGCCAACTTTAAACGCATCTTCACTTTTTGTTATTGTTCTAGTGCCTGTTTAAAGCTTTTAAACGTTAATTTTTTTGTATTTAAAAAACAAAATAAGAGACTTTTTTCAAACTGCAACAAATAAGATGATCTGCTACTGTACGACTGCAATGCGAGTGGTTCTTTCAGTGCTTACTTGTGTTAAGATATGTAAAAACAAAACAACAAAAAGCTTAACTAGTACTATTATCCATTTCCCAAATTAGTAGTAAATAACCAAAGTAAGTTACATACTTTTCTTTTTTTTTCCTATTTGATTTTCTTTGCGTTGGTGATTTTTAATGTTTTATTAGGTACACCTGTTTCTGTGCTTGTTGACACAAAAAGCAGCAAATCAATATCCTAATCAGGACTCTTTTCATGATTACATATTTTCTTTAAATTCCCACTAACACTTTATAGATCTGTGTTTGTGCGCTTATTTTTATATTCTGTATTATTATGTTTTATACATTTGTGATAAATTGATGAAAGATTGTATTGTTGGTTTTTATATTATTCTTTTCATACTGTTTGGGTGAAGGATTTATATATTATTCCTAAAAGAGCAGATAACCACCATATGGCTTTATAGTCTTTTATAATATGCCAAGTATGAAAAGCAGCTTGTGAAATGATCTGATAAATGTAACTAATGTAAGTGAAAGTCCTGTCTGGATAATGTAGCTGTTTAGCTTAAAAAGTGAATTTGACATGTCATGACATGTTGTTTTTTTTAATCCTGTTTGCAAAGCAAGGACAGAGAAGAACTGTTCATAGTAACAATATTTATTTAAATAGTTTTACATGTTTTATACATACTAAACACAGAAAAAAAGAGTAATCTTAATCTCAGTGGTCCTGTGTATTTAGTAGAAATTCAAATTACATCCACAAAGCTTGGAATAAAAATGGCAATTATCAAAGTATTAAACAAGTCAGCATAGTCTAACCATAAAGTGCAACTCACCAATTCCAGTTATTTAAGCAAGAGGTCCAGAAAGGTGAAAACAGAAAATCCCTATTGTTTTGCTCAGACACGCTTTAAAAAAGGTGAAGCTGAAACCACAATAGGTAACAATTCTGCCACCCCACACAATGCAGAAGCTGAGCTGTTATTGCACTGCATTTTAAAAAAACATTACAATGAGTCACTGACTCTGATTTACATGCATAGACACAGGACAAAAATATCCTTGATAGCGGTGAAAAACAGTGAAAAAATAATCACTGAGTTATTGGATTTAAAGTGGAAGAAATGTCAGTCTGCTAATGCAAGATTATCATAGTTTGTCTTAATCCGTCAAAACTATTCTGATGCAAAACATTGCAGATTTCAGAAGTCAACAACATCTTAATTGACATTTGTGTTAGTTGCATTCCTTGAAGGTCTTTAAAAGAATGGTTCCTCTTTGCACACCCATTTTTCCGGCTTGTGTATAGAAATGTATGCGCCATTAGATTCAGAATCAGTCTTCTGAATTGGTTTGCTTGATTTATCATAATTAGCGAGATTGTTCATTCTTGGTCCTGTCGATTTCTTGTTGGGATCACTGTCCCTGTCATATGCTTGCTTTTTTGCAGTATGACGCATAGGATGATGAACTTTGATCCTCTTTTTCACAACTTTTTGTTTCATTTTTGAGGGTGTCAGTGTAGGCAGACATTCCACATATGGTGATGGTGAATTTTTCGTACTTAAATCTGACACGTCCTTGATTTTTGGCTTACTTTCAATTGTTGTAAAATCTGCTTCATCTATGTTTTCACCTTTAATGTGAACATCCTCTTGATTGCCACTGTCCTCTCTTTTGGTGGTGTCTTGTTTGCTGCATTCCCTTGGTTGTGCTGAGTATGTAGAACATGATGTGAATGTGTCATATGTGGGACTCTCATCATTTGTCTCCTGGTGTTTTTTCTCATGGCTTCTCTTTGTGGCAAGATACACAAAACGCTGGGGACAGAATGAACAGCGATATTTCTTCTCTTGGTTGGGGCTTCGGGGTGTGTTGTCAAAGCAAGAGCCATTTTCCATGCAGCTGTTGCAGATGTAGTCCCCACAAGACGGTGCCTCACCGGGGGGACCTTGTTTTCCGCAGGTCCGACAGAAGTAAGGATGGGAACCGATTACATGAGCTTTCAGTCCAGTCTCTGTGATAAAAGAGCTGTCACAGATGTCACAGTTGTAGGTAGGCCTAGGACTGTAGTTTCTGCTAAGACTATGTTTCGGCCCAATGCTAGCTCCTGAGCTGCTCTCCTCTGTTGGAAAATGTGTTCTGTCAAAGTGGGATTCAGTGACACCTGTTCTGTCTATGGAAAGTTCAGGACAGGGATGAAACAAAGCATTTCTGTGTTTGTATCTGAACTTCTTTCTCTTCTTTTTAGCCTTGTAAGAATAGTAGGGACGCCAAAGCTGATCAGCTGTATCGCAGTCATTGGTATCATCACATGTCTCAGTGGAAGCAACGGCTTCCGGTCTGAGTCGAAGCCTTGGACTCTCTGTGTTTTCCCTCAGTGGACTGCATTGACTTGGGGCTTGTTCCTCATTTCGTTCTCTAGTTTTCCTCTTCTTCCTGGGGAAAAGCTTAGATCCTTTAATTTTGCGGCGGATGATTGCTTCATTACCTATTTTCACTGTTATCTGACATAGCGGCTTGGTGTCACTGTCCAGAGATGGGCCCTGGCAAGCAGGTTTGGCGATGTAAGTCTCTGTTTTTGTCCCCATTACTTTGTCTCGCATCAAATCCTTTGTGCTGGATTGAAGTATCTCCTTGGTCATCTCTTCAACCCTTTTTGCTGAAGCTGATAACTCTCCTAACTTTTTAACAGTACTTAAGGAGTTGAAGAATGGCACAGTGTGAGTAATGTGCTCTGAGTTCATCAGCACAGGCGGTTTATCTGTTTGAGGCTCAGGATTGGGTAGAGTCAGCTTGGACGAGAAGATGCTGTCACAGTTACTAAAAGGCGAACCTCTGTCTCCAGCTTCGTTCTCTGTGCTTATCTGCTTCCCCTGTTCACTATTGAGATTTTGATCGATAACTTGATTGCAAGGCTTGTCAAAGCAGATGCGAGGCATGACAGGGGAGACCATCTTTGTTGTGGCCATGAAGGTTAGCGGGAATGAAGTTGTGTCAGGGTGAGTAAGGAGACTGTTTTCTTCAAATGGAGGAATAAGTGAACTGTTGTCTAAAGAGGATGAGTCACCTTTTTCACCACTTTCTGAGTATGTCTGGCTGTATGTCTTGTATTGCCTTTTTCTAAACTTCATGGGCAAAAGTCTGTAGAGCTTGATTGGATAAACGCTGGCTTTCAGCCCACCATTGGCAGATTTTTTTCTGACAGCGAGGTTGGGATCAATGCCATGGAAGGACTTTTGATGGTTTTTCAAGATATAATATGTCATAAATGTCTCCAGACAGAAAATACACTGATAGCGGCGTTCACCTGTGTGCCAGATTTCATGCTTGGTGCGGTACTCTGCTAAGGCAAATACTTTATTGCAATAATGACAGGGGTAAGCCCTCTGCCACGAGTGCACGTTCTCATGCCGCCTCAGGCTCGACAAGGTGACATAAACTCGTTTGCACACACTGCAGTTGTATCGCCTCTGCCTTACTGTCTTCTCTTCATGTAGGCGCTCTGTTAGGTTAACTTCAGTGAGCTCTGGCATGTTCGGGCTGGGAAGATCTGCAGAGGGAGGCTGTGTTGCAGAGCTCTCCATGTTTAACCTGTCATCTGAATGTTGCTCCACCTCTTTGGCTGATATTTCCCTGGCATCAAGCTTAGGTGGGCCTCTTCCAGTCTTTGGACATAATCTCTCATGGTTGTGCAGTCGTTTGAGGTGTATGAATTTTCTGTGACAAAATTTACAAAACAAACGAGTATCAAAATGCTTTTTGTGTACCTCAGAGTGAATGGTGAGAAGAGCTTTATTTGAGAATATCTCTGGACAGTGTTCGCAGCTGTAGACTGAGATGCTGTCCTCTGGGTGAGGGGAAAGAGGTGGTGGACCTAGCTCTGTGTTAGCACTGTCAGTGGCTCCACAGAGCTCTGTCTCTGTTATCTTCTCTGTCTCCGCTTCTGAAAAAAGTGCAGGCGGTGTCATAACGGCAACAGGAGCAGCAGCATCACCGTCAGATAACACTGGTGTAACTGTGTTATCTGCTGGTGCTGGAAGCATACTTTTGCCCAAAATGCCTCTCAGCCTGTGGCGCTTTTTTAGTGGGCCCGTATTCCTATACATGAGTGGTTTTGAGTGTAATATTGCTGGTTTACAGACGTTCCTGTCGTCCCACTGACTGGTGTCTTTGTCTTCAGTGGAATTGTTTACTGCATATGAGTGCTCAGACAGGGTGTGGGTTGTCTCATTGTTCCCATTGATGCTGGATATTGAAGGGAAATTTGAGGGTAGGTGTCCCACGTCTGGCGATTGCCTCTGCTTGTCTGTTTGAACCAAAGGAGTGAAGGGATTGTTACCAGGACACATTTCAGTGATAGAGAAGGCATTGGTAATGCGCGGCCCTCTTGCACTGTCTGTGTCCTCACGCCTGGAAGCCTCCTTCTTTGTTGTTGAAGATTTTGTGTTTGCACACGAGTCTCTAGGACTAACACGTTCATCCTGCTGCTCTTCATCTGCAAGCTTTTCCAAAAAAGAAATTCCAAGTCTTCTTCCAGCTGCTGCAAGTCCCCCTCTGTTCTCTTCACCAAGTGATGTCAACTTTGAAGAGTATATGAAGTTGAGGATGCAGGCAAACACTTCCGACTTTAGGTCCATCAGCTCTAGGACTTGGCTGGAGCTGCATGTATCTGTGGTTGCCAGAGTGCTTCTGAAGTATCCGCTGCATGCAGCCAAGATGTTTTTGTGGGCCCGAAACTTCACATCCTCTACCACGATGGTAACGTCACAGAAGAGGCCTTGTGACCGCTGCTCATTGAGCTTGCTCAGCACAGTAGAAGGGTGTGTGCTGTCCATCAGGTTTGGATGCATAGGCTCACTGCACTCATCTAAAAAAGAAAAAATTAGAAATGATTACGCCACATGTAGTAAAGTAGATAACTGTAAAATTATGAAATGTGATTATTTGCTTTTTCAAGCTTTTCAGCAGTTTTTCCGTTTTAACACTAGATGGCAGCAACATTCTGACACAGAATGCCAGTTTTCATCAACAGTTGCTGAATTTAAACCTGATGACCTCCAAACCATTTTATGCATAAAGAATGTAGCCTACCTCCAAGTTTGCCTGACTTGAATTTGACTTGAATTCAGTCTTTAGGATTTTAAAGAAAGCATGTTGTTATAGAACACACTGAAGAGTAAAATGATTTATCTTACTTTTACCTGTTTGAGTAAATTATAGCTAATGATATAAGGTGTAGCTAGTTGTACATGTTCTCTGAACCATTTGTCAGACAAAACTAAGATCGATGATAACTGAATGAAGGATCTATATTATGTTTCTGGATATGTGAGTTTTTGTTTAATTTTAGCCACCTTAATTGATCAACTAAACCACTTTAGAGTGCTACAGATCTGAAAGAGAGTCATATTTTTATGTAAAGTTATTTATTCAATAATGCTTAAAGATTATTAAATAAATGTGGTGAAATAAAAACTACTGTACCCAAATTGAGACAATAAAATGTAGAGCTGGTCATCACATCTAATTGCAATGATGCAATATTTTGCATCATTTTATATTTTCACATAGTGCCATGCATGCATATTCTGCATGTCGATAATATACTTGGCCCCTTGGATAGAATTGCACTGCCCTTCATGTCCACCATTGGCATTTATTTTTAATGGTCACAATGCTAAATAAAGAGTGGTACCATGTGATGAAGAAAAAGCACAAAAGAGTCAGAAAATGTGGATTAATCATAGTTAATACAATCAAAACCACCACAGTTAAATGTTTCTCTGATATTATGCAGGTCTAGTGAAATGTTTGGCTTTGCTTATTTCTTTTTGTTGTGCTCTGCATCGACTTGGAAATCTCATAGTGAATTCATGCTTGTTATCTGCCATTAAAAAAATATTGTCTTGTGAAAGTATTACAAATTTTTTGTTTATAATTGATGTTTTTGTATTCTCAGTAAAAAGTATATTTCAGTAAGGATTTAATTTTTTACTGATTATTTATTTTTTTGAAATAGATATTTATGTCTGGAGACATTGGTATGATTGCCTCCTGACGGGTGAGTTTTTGCTTTTTATTCTTTTATCGTTTTTGTTTTCTTTTTATGTATATTTGGACTTTGAGTCTGTGTAATAAAATCAATCTATCTATGTGATGATGAGTCATATAGTCCCTATCTTCCCAGTTGATGGCTTCCTTTCACATGCCTCGGAAATAATCGAGGCATGATCGATAAAATTTCATTCTGCTAAACAATCATTTAATAGTTGATGATAGAAATCATAGCTAACAGTATGATAAAATGAAGCACATCTTGCATGTTTTAGATTTGGAGACTTTCTTGTCTTCATCTTGTTGGCGTGCATTAGGACAGAATGAAAACTGAAAAGAAAATGCTGTGATGACAAACGAAATGAGATCAGTTAAATGTATAAATTACATTGAACTGAGCGAACCACACATTCATTTATTTGAATGTATGAGTATTATCTTAGCACTGTGAGCCTCTCATGGGGTAGTGCAATCTGAGTCATTTTTGTTTTGCATATCGTGCTGGCTGTACATGGTAAGACACACTTCGTTACTTGTAAATGATGAATCATGCATCCACTTGTGTTGCTGCTATTTACAGCTTCACTTTGCGCTTTAATTTTGTCAGAGATATATATAATTATAACTCCTGTATTGAATATTACGTCTCTCGGAGCACTTGATACTTAATGTGCCAAACAACAACGCATCTTTGTTAAAACTGTTGAAACCTAAGTTATACACTCAAAACCACTCAAGTTATGTTTATTATTTCTAGTGTTAAAAATTGTAAATAACATTCACACTGATGTCTTTATAACACAGAACAGCGTTTCCTCTAAGGAGGACGCTGGTTATCACCAGAGAGTTTCTTTAATGCTAATGTTGTGATGTGTACCGAATACAATATGGCCGCCAGTGTCTGTAAAGCCTTTCAGACGACTGAAAACACAACTAACCTCCTGCCTTCTATCGCAGACGGGCCTCCGTTGTCATGGCAACATGCTATGGCGCAGCACTTATTGGAATTCAGCCGGATGGCAATCGACTGTAACTGCTGTCAAAGGTTTCAGTTTACTTCTTGTTAAAAAAACAACAACAAAAAAAACACTGTGCCCTCTTTGGGAACCCTGCTGCAAGCAGAAATGCACAAAGCGATGGAGGTTTGCCTTTGTCTCCAGCTGACTATACTTTGTCTTTTGCTTGCCGAGGTCTGAGAGTCTTTGTGTCTGCAGCACAAAATGGACTTTCAGATATTTCAGCGTTATCTGATGGAGAAGTATGTGCCGAACATATAGAATTGTTCATCTTTTTAGCGCTATTTGTGGATCAGCATCGCCCTCTCCCTCCAGGAGGCTTCTTCAATCCACCACATTCATTTTTTACAGTTTGCATCAGTTGTTATGGTTTGTTGCAGCCACATGCTGAGCGGAATTTCTTAACTTGCTATCACTGCTTTTTTTTAATTTGCCACACCCCGACTTCGTTTACCTTCAAAGACATGATTTGCTTTTATATTTTTTTCAGAAAAATAGAAATCCCCTGAGGTCAAACCACAAACCGAGAAATGACAGAGCAAGATACAGAAAGTATTATAAAATGACAAACAAACTGTCAAGGCAAAAAACCCCTCTTCAGCTTTGCAAGGCATACTTCCGCACACATACAAACGCAAGCAGGTTAGATTTTGAGGGTAAGCATGCAAAACGTACCTTAGTGAATCAGAGAAAATGATGCACAACGAACAGGAAACAATGCTGTGCAGTATCCCTTTCTCTACGGCCTGGCATACACACAGTGATACACAAAAAACAGTTTCATAAGATATAGGCGAAAGTACTTTTTCCCCTATGATGGTCGCTGAACAGTGGTGGTGTCTGAAGCCGAGCTTTTTCTGACGTCTTTCTTCCTCTCCCTCCCTCTCATCAGTGTGCAGATGACTTCAGCTCCAGCATCTATCGCTTCTATCCATGCAGCCCGGGTCCTGGGCTAGAGCTGCCCTACCCTCCAATGTCCTACAGCACTACAGCGAATGGAATAACACAATTTTTTTCTTCCTTTGCAGAACATAGCTAAATCGGAGCACAAGTCTGTCCCATGTAATAGCTGGGCTACTGACGCTTTCGTTCTGGAGCCACTAAGCAGGAAGCGGCAACTTTTATTAAGCATTGCAGAGAGCTGTAGGGAGAGCGGAGAAATGCAGGTCTCTACATCACACATCAGCTCAGTTCTTCATCCCACAGCCAGAAAGCTCGCTCAGCTGCATCATTGTGAGTGCTCATAGCGAGTGGTCCTGAGCTGAATAACGGATGCCGTATTAAATCTCCCCAGCACCACAAACTAGATCCAAGTGGAGCCTGATGCAGGCTTTTACAGGACAATGCCTTGCATGAAATATAAATCATCATGAGCCCTCTAATATGCACCTTAAATGCACAACAGCACACCATCTGCTGGTGCACACAATCTCTGTCTGTACAGCAGCATATCACACCACTGCCTTTCGCCCATGCCTTGACTGTGGTTAGAATAGACAAAGCTGAAGCAAGGAGGAGATGACACACACTGCCGTCCTGTCGTGCAAAGCAGCAATCACAGTCCAGATGTTTAGCGATGCTTTTTCTGGCTGAGATAAAAACAAACCGTGCTCTCTGCAGCGACTTGGGGTATACCTATATAAAGGCTGCTGATTGATGCGAAAGCAGCAGATGCGTCAGCACTGCAGACGAGGGGGGAGGGGAGGAAGCCAAACACACGACGTGGCTCGGTAGCCTCTCCACTAGCCTCTAAAGACAGAAGCAACTGCTTAGGCCCTCCCATCCTGACTAGCACTTCCATTTAAACAGACCAGTGATGTTACATGGCTGCTGATGTGAAAGAGCAGGTGCAGTATCTGTAAGAATAAGCTTACTTGTTGCATCTAAGCGCAAAGAAGACACATCTCACTTCATGTGTGTGTGTTTTTGTGGAAATATGATAAACTATTGATCAGTTGTTTTTCTATTTTTATTATTTGTATTGTAGCAAATGTGAATGCAAAGCTACAAACTATTTTTGATGCTGGTACAAATATATATGCAAAACTCTTTCTTCCAAAGTCAGCCTCTTCTAGGTTTGGAGACCTAATTAAGAAAGTAGTACGGATCCTTTAAAGACATTTGTTAACTACAACAAATATATATAAACTTAAGAGTATTTTATTGATTTTTTTTTCAGAGCCAAATAGACATAAGTAAGAGACTTGTTTTGAAGTGAAAGGAAACTGATTTGTAGTTTTTAAAATGTCTGAAATCTGAAATGTGTAGCTTGTGTTTGTGTTCAGATCAGACAGTATTTTGTAGAGCTCCTGTCGCTGCTGTCACAGCTTCTGGTCTTTGTGGGATATGTCTCCATCAGGTTTGTAAATCTGGAGACTAGCATAAACAATATATTGTCACAGTGTAATATGATAAACACCATAAATTTAATAAATTTCAAGGATTCAAGGATTTTATTGTCATACCAGCGCTCATATTTTGTCTGTAGAATGAAATTAAGACTTAGGTCTCAGTTTAAGAAGCCTGAAAAATTAATATAAGTAATAGATAAGTATAAAAATAGATTTAGTAAATATATAAAGTATAAGTAATAATATGTAAATATATATTTTTATAAAGTTAAAACGTGAGTATCAAGAGTGGCTATAGTTCAGCGGCCTGACAGCTGCATGGTAGAAACTGTTTTTGAGCCTGGAGGTCTTGCACTGAATGCTCCTCAGCTGCTTGCCTGAGGTGAGTGGCTAGAACTGTCTGTGTGCAGGATGGGTGGAGTCCTTCATGATACGGACCACCCTCCTCCTTCATCATGATGTATAGAGGGCCCAGGTGGAAGGACGACTGCTCCCCACAGTCCTCCGTGAAGCTTTAACCACTCTCTGCAGAGCCATTTCTTTGTTTCAATAGATCACTTCTCATCAAAGCAAGGTTCAATCCTGGTACTTATTCAACATCTATATTCTCCCACAAGTACAGGTTATAACAGGAAATAAGATTAGCGACCATAGCCAGGCAGGTGATACACAGCTCGACATTACGATGTCAGTGGGTGACTCTGAACCCATCCAAGCACTGAACAGATGCTTAGAACAGATAAACATGTGGTTGTGCCAAAACTTTCTCCAGCTGGACAGAAACAAAAACTTAAGTTATTGTCTTTGGACCTAGAGAGGAACAGTCTAGACTCTGACCTGAAGCATCAGAGCCACATAAGGACAGTTACAAAGTGGCCTTCTATCACCTGATGAACATTGCCAGGATTAGAAGACTAATGTCCGACTCCAAGCAAGTTCTAGAGAAACTCATTCATGCGTTTATCTTTAGTCGCACTAATTAATGCAACGGTGTCTTTACAGGTCTGTTAAAAAAAAGAAAAAAAGAAAAGCAGACACCTGCAGCTGATCCAGAACCCTGCTGCTTGAGTTCTTACTTAAACCAGCACAATAGAGTACATCACCTCAGTATTAAAGTCCCTACACTGGCTCCCTATAGCTCACAGTAGACTTTAAAATACTGTTGTTAGTTTATAAATCACTAATCAGTTTAGCACCACAATAATTTAAAGATCTGCTGTTGCCTCTCAGATCTTCTGGTTGTGGTCTGCTCTGCATCCTCAGAGCAGCATTCAGCTTCTATGTACCACAAATGTGGAATAAACTTCCAGAAAACTGCAAAACAGCTGAAACACTGAGTGCTTTTAAATCTAGACTAAAACCCCACCTGTTTAGAGTTGCATTTGAAACATTATAAATGGGACTGATGACCTGTTCAGGTGTACTTGGTCTCTTGCCTGTTGACAGCTGAAGATACACACCAGCACCCCTCACAACCCAAATGAGATAAATGTGTATGATGACATATAATAATATCTGGGTAACAATCAAAACGTACTGCTAGATATTGATGTTTATACCCGACAGCAAAAATTAGAACAGAAAAACTAAAATATCTGCACAAAATCTAAATAAACTAAAATATAAAAAGGTGTTAATGATTCTATGGCTGAGAGATCTAAAGAAATCTTCTGGGGGAAAAAAATCACTGTAACATTTACTCTATATTTGCTCTATATTCAAAAACACAAAGTGCTCTTTGACATTTGTGTTTCCTTTTGTCTAATAAGTCAAATGTCATTTTCCCCAAAGTTGCTTTGTGAGAGCAAAAAGATAAGAACTTCTCTTTGGTCAGGATAAGATAACTCTGTTCACTTACAGGTCAAACTAACCTGTTTGACCTGTAAGTCAAACAGGTTAGTTTGTACTGTTTCCACTAAGGGCTGACAAGAGATAAATCATTGATAAAAGCAGCACATGTTTAAAAACACATAGGAATAGCACATTTCTAACACAGATGTGATTTACTTCCCCTTCACAATCATGTTCTACTTTGTGTTGGTTTGCCATTTGTAATGTTTCCTGATGTGTGCCATTTTGTGATATCAGACTTATGTAGTGCTTCATTAGGATACTCAAAGACACTTTTAAATGAAATCAGTCATTCCTATTCTTGCACTCTCGTCTGACAGAGGCAAGGCTGCTATATCGCGACATTGGCCCTTCTGTCTGCCCAAGAACACAATGACACATTCTGGTAGGACAGGGATTTGAACCAGTGACCCACTGATTACAAGACAAATTCGGACCCATGTCACCATCATTGCCACCACTTTCCTCCATAAGTTAAGTAAATTACATCAAACTGCAAAATATTTCAGCCATTGTGCCATGATATTTGTCTTTTAGCGAACATTTCTGTTTGCTGTTGATGGCTTTAGGAAGAATCACTCTGTTCACATTCAATAACGACATCTAAACTGGAAACAAAATGGCAGCTCGGTAGGAAAAAAATCAGTTTATACTTTAAATCCTTATATGCGCTATATGTTAGATTAAGTTATGCATTATGTAAGAGGAATCTCACCATCTATACCTAACATCACAGCCAGGAAGTGGTTAAAACAACAGAAAAAATAAACAGGCCTTTATGCTTCTGTGGCTCAGTGATCCCAGCTGTGGCCTGTGGGAACTCATCGGCTGGAAGGCAAACACCGCCGCACCAAGCTGAGTAGGCCTTATATAAAGCAATCCAAGTTAACAAAGAAGTTTATGCACGGGAGAATTCATCTTGTTATTGTTAATAAGCACCCATACCTGTAGTCGCCTATTAAAAAACGTTTCTGTGTGGAAGGTCTTGCTTTGGGCCGGTCTCTGGCGCAGTGGAAGTCTCTCTGCTGTTTGTTTAGGCGCAGGAGGGTAGAGCGACTACCCGGCCTCCGTTGCTGCCTTGGCCCATCTTAGGCCTTTCCCATCTTCTGTCATAGCTGCTGGTGGTGTGGACTTTGCTTCGGGCAGAGATTTCCCTGCTCCTGCTGTGCAAAGTTGCCTTGTGGAGACAGCTGCCAGTGCTGCGTCACTCCGGCTGCATCACTGACCTACAAAGAGTTTCTGAAAAGGAGGGGTGGTGAAGCGAATGTGTGGAGCAGAAAAAAAAAAGGAAAAGGGATAAGCAGAAAACAACAAGCCGAGCTCCAACAAACAAATGGATGGGGCTTCCGTTCTCCCTTAGTTTGAGGCCCGGTTACTGCTCTGGTATTCAGGAAGTGAGTCTAGGAGACAGATCCTTTATTGTTATGTAATGAACATTTTTTTCTCCCAGAACAGCCTCAGCTGAGAAGTCTGTGCGAGAGGCTAATAATAGGCCATAATACCTCAGTGAGGCCTGAGTGTGGCCATGTCAAACCATAGAGGGAGAGCTAGTGTTTAATGTATCATTAAAAAAAATCTAAACTTTCTGTTTCCTTCTTAATAAGAGATCATTTTTGTCTTATTGCCTTTCTTTTAAAACAAAAAATAATAAGTCAAATTACAACTTTTTAAATACGGCTATTTTAAAACTGGAAAAAGTTCATACCTTCCTCTAATGTTACAGAAGCTTTCTTAGGACAGAAGCAGATGCTCATGAAAGGAGATTTGCCCAAAATTTCAAGGCAGGATCACTTAGGCCTGGAAATGGTAACCAGAACTACAACACTTGTTTTGCACACGCCACCCTCGGGTTTGTTTTTCTTGATTCTCCTCCTCCTCCCTACATCATCATCATCATCATCCTGCTTTCACTGCTGTGCTGCTCCCTCTGCTGGTTCATTGAAAGAACACATCAGAGTGGTAACACACTGAAGTGGAATGAGAGGCAAAGACAACATGTAGTCGTGAGGACCACCACCAGAGGGCACTACAATAATTTGCTCGAATGTAAACAGGAAGTATGTAACTCGACGTTGTCCTCTGATCTGATGTCAGCAGGATTCAAGCGTTGAAGATCTTTTGATAATATTTTGCTACCTTCTGTTTTGATCTAATTTAAAATATATATGTCATATAACTTTTTTTATGTAGCATAATTTGAGTCGCTTGTAATTTTCCCTAATGTTAAAACATTTTTTTCAAAAATGCAACTGTACAAGTACTAACTTGTTTTGAGGATGCTTTTGCACATTTTTTTCACTTTGTTCACGCACACAAAGAAATTAGTCGTGTTGCTGTTTATTTTTACTGCTTTTTGGCGTCGTTGCTGCTGGTGGTGTCATTGCTGTTGAAGTCGGTATTGTTGATGTCATTGGTTTTGGTGCCATCAGTGTGAAAGAAGGTAAAATAGGCCAACTTCCATCCCAGGGCTTTTGCTAAGTCCTCCATGTTAGGCTGGTAATCAGGACAGTCATTCTTCACAAGCATTTCCCAAAACTTTTCAGAGTTGCAGAGCTATGGTCCAGTTAGACCCCACGACAGAAAGACAAGGATTGTTACAATTTTTAGAAGGTGTGACTGTTAATGTACAATCATGCAAATGATAAAAAATAAAGAAAATCCAGCAACCTCATTATTGTAAATTTGATGTTCTGCAATGGTCTTACCATTTTGAATCTTTTGGAAACCTGTGCCAACACAAATCTTTCTTTCAGCTGTAGGAAGGAGATGATTCTGAGCAGTAAGTCCTCCGGTATGCGATCAAGATAGTCGTAGTGTCCCTGGCACAGTGACAGCGAGTAGACCAGGATCTTCTCACCAAAAACATTGCTAATATCCTCTATGAAGGAATAGTGGCAATGGTAATTTCTTGAAAACTCACATAAATATTGTTATTGGCAACTTAGCAAACAGTTATGCTAAATCATACCACGCTTTGATAAGGACTACCTTTTGTTAATGGTACAGCTTTGCTTGGCAAATCTTCAAAACATGTGAAACATCCCACTATTTGAAAGGTATAAATCCATTTTTTTGAACCAAGATTGTATTTTAAAAGACACTTAGCCCAGCTTCTTTGCATACAACACTGATCAGCTGAAAGAAACTGTATTTCTTAAATTGCAGATTTGATCTCAGACCAGGACTTTAAGAAATCATGCACACCTTTTATAGGTAGTGCTTATATTCCCCAATGATGGGGACCAGAAGCCAAGACTACTTGTCAACCTTGGCTCCTCCAGGACACCAGAGCTCATAAATGTTGTCATTGATGTTTGTTAGCTTTAGTGCGAAAATGGACCACAATGTATCAAAATGTACGTCCCTTCTGAGTACACCAAAAGTTATACTTCAACAAAACTACCTGGTCCCCCATGACCACTTCCACTGTCCATAACTAAGGTGCCTATTTCACTCAAAGACACTTTCTAATGAAATCAATCATTCTCAATCACACACATTCAAATGCAGATATTGGCAAGCTACTTGACTGTAGCCACAGAAGTCTGACAGAAGCGAGGCTGCTACACTGGCACCGTCTACCCTTTTAATTACCACCAGCAGGCAAAGTGAGTGAAGTACAAGTGTCTTGTCCAAGAAAACAATAACAGAAATTAACAAAGCAACCAACAACCCACTGATTACAAGACAAATTCCTACCTCCCTCGCCACTATTGCCCCACGTATTGGCGATGATACTATTGTGGTAACATTGTACAATTATAATTATATCTTCATGTGATTTTCTTTTTCATTTGGTGAATAAATTTACACAAACCAAAGTTTGTTGTTTTTCTGATTTTTGCCAATGGTGTCAATACACACTTACTATTTGTGACAAGCTAGTGTCAATACACATAGGAATGCTTGAGAATTGGGGTATGCTAAGTATTTTTTATTTTTATCAGAAAACCATGAGATCAAAGTTGTTTATGCTGCTTCATATTTCATAGAGGTTTTAATCTGGGTCTTTGCTGCAGTTGAGTTTCACACATTTATACAAAATAAAACCTTCAAAATGGGGTACCAAATTTTTAAGATGCAGTTAGCAAGTTAATATTAATTTTCCTTAATAGTGTTAATAGTTTGTCTTCTCAGAAATAAATTACTAAGAAAGATGGATCCAGTCTTTTAGAATACTTTTTTTTTTTTTTTTTTACTGATTTGTGGCTTATGTAACAGGAATGACAATTTTACTTGTAAGGAAAGATGTTATCCTCGGTCAACTGAATATTCATTTTAAGGGACAATAATTATACCACCGAGAGTTCTGCATATAGCAAAGGTGATTCAGTCAAGCTTAAACATCAACCATAGAAAGAGATTAAAGACATAAATACATCTTACCCTGAAGTCGTTTGTCTTGTAGAAAATTAGCAAAAGTTGACTTCACCTGTTTTGGAGCACGAAATATACTGTCACGTCGCAAAGAGATGGTCCAAACAGTCAATTTTACCTTAAATAAATCAAACAAAAAGACAGATAACGGGTAAATCAAAGTTAGAAAACCGTTACCTGACTTCTTGATTTGTAAAAAAAAAAAAAAAAAAAAAAAAAAAAAAAAGAAAAAGTGCCAGAACTCGCTCAAGTATGTGCATTTATGCTCAAGACACACCCTACCTCATTTCTGGTAATGACAAAATTGTAAAAATCTTTCGAGGGCGCTGGGCCCTGGCCAGAAATTTCAAACAGCTTCTCCCCCAGCAACGACGCCATTTTGGACGCAGCACTGTAACCATGACAACAACAAGAAAATAACTCGGTCTTGATGGTTTCAGTAGAATAAAATCCATAAATTGTCGCATTTATTTACACTGAAAGATTCAAACCCAAAATTTCAGGGCGCATATTTAAAATATAACAATAAATATAACAATATATATATATATATTAAAAAAAATCAACGGCAGAGGAATACGATTAGGGAACGTACGTTTGCGCAACAGAAAAATAATTATGGTGACTTAAATTATTAACAGATTTACATTTTTACACATTCAGAGAGAGAGAAAGAGAGAGAGGAAAGCGGGAGGAGGTGAGGGGGGTTCGCGACCCAGCGGATTTATACTTAATATTTGTGACAAGCTAGTATCACCAGTGTTTAACTGATCACAGCTGAACATGTACAGATAAAACTCCCTCCTTTTCAGCAGCGGTGCATTGATATTTCAGACTGAAAATGGCTGTTTGTAGGCGAAGCGTCTCTGCCGAGTCGCAGTAAGCTGATGTCGAAAATCACGGGTATCTAGTTCCACAGCGGATGAATAACGCGGATGTATATTGCAGTTGTAGGCCGCTCAGCTGATACGAAGCTAGCAGGGGTAGAGAGAGAAAAGAGGAGCAGTGCACAGTCTGTTACAACTACAACACTGGAACAAATAGGTAACAAGAATATGTGAAATATTTACATTTTAAGTGACATCTCAGTCATCAGTTTTAGAAATGATTAATTATCGATTTGTATCAATAGGATTTTGATTCTGTGTCGTAGAGTCCTCCCGAACTCCCTTCCTGCTTTCCTGTTTTTTGTGTCTAAAATGTATCAGTGGCCATTTCTTTTTTTGCAACCTAGCGAGGTCGTGCTACCTTTTAGTTGTGTGACTAGTTCATTGAGTTGAGTTTAATCAGGGACTCACGTGTTTGTGAGGTGTATTTAAGCTCTTATTTGTGTACCCCATTCTGTCGAGCTGGCAAAGCGCTAGCCAGTGACAACAAGGAAAGCTCTTATTGATTAGCATGCCAAGGTTAGCTACAACGCTCTTGGATGATTTAACGTCGCTTAACGTAACCTACGTGACTGCCCTGCGGTGGCTAATTCTGTTTTGATAAGGTTAGTATTTCATAAACCGGAGAACTACAATTTTTAATAGCAACCAGCGACTTGTGAGAGTATTATTTTTTCTATTTTGTCAGGTTACTACTGAACGGCCATTAAAAAAGCTATGTTGCATGGCTAAGCTCATATTAGCTTGCTAATAATTAACTAGCTTCGGCGCTTGTCAGTTTAGCCACGGTATTAAGATTTTAGCTCCATTTGGTTCTGTTTGCCCAACTGTAACAACAAACGATGCGTTTTGTTTACACTTTGTTAGACAACTTATTTTCTCTAGGCTAGCATTAGCTAAAGCTCCAGACATTGGTGCAGTGAAAGGGAGCCCTTGGCCTTTTATAGGCTAAGAAAACATCGGTTCAGTTCTCATATTTGTAAAGGTTGGCTAGCTTGTACGCAACAACTAGGTTGACATCGAGGCTAAGAATTAATCATTGTATTTGTTGTATGACAGTCGTATGTTTTGAATTTGATTCCCCTACCAATCATCATAAAATGTGGTCCAACGTATTTTGGGCCATCACGTCTCTTTTCGTTTTCTTAAAACTTGTCAGCCATACTTGTGTCATAATAGCCCGAATACCAACCTAGCTAGCCCCTCAGCTTTATTACATCAAAACGCTGTCGGTCCATCCGATGCTGCCATTTTCGGTGCCTAGCTCATCACAAGTAGTTACATTTTTATTTTGGGAGGCTGTCTTTGTAGTTTATTTAAGACCATGTCCTTTTTCGTTTACGAAACAACTTACAAACGAGGTAGTAGTTTAAACCCACCTATTGGTTAAGTGTCTAAATAGGTTGACACACCGGTACTCAAACTACGCAGTTCAATGCAACCAGTGCTAAATTAGCCAGTGTAGCTTTTAACTGTTTAAGCTTCCAAATGTGTTAAATTCTCGTTGAGACTGCATTCGTATTGTGGTTTTCGTGTTTAGGGTGGCAACTTTTGACCGCAGAACATACAGTGTGAACTCGCTGCTGTCAAAACGTATGAGATTGGAAGGGAATGACTGGCTCAACATGCTAACGTTGCTCGGTGATGCTAAACAACTACGTCAGAAATACAGGCCTCTGGAAATCATAGGTACTAAACAGGACGCGGCTGGTGTCTTGGTTATGTTGTGAAAGCGAACCAAACGAGATGGCGATTAAAAATGCCAGCCACTTGCTGTGTGAATCTAATCACATTACTGGCGAGTGGCGTGCCAGTTGTCAGAGTGCTCGAATAACAAAGACAAGGATGCACTGTCAGTGTAGGCCTAACGTGGCCCTATGAGCTCCGGGAATGTGGCGTATTTTGTCATCAGAATTTATTATATCTTGGATAAATCGTGAGTTAATTTGCTATGCCTTGATGGTAAAATTTCTGTATTCCAAAAGTACTCAGATGGTAAGTTAGCATTATTTTTGCAAATATCAAATCCACCTGGATATGTTTAAAGTTCAGCCTCATCAATAGTCTCATGTGAATTAAGGTTATATGCAAATTGCTCCTGCTGCAATATGAAATTCTCTATCATTATTATTAAAACTGCCGATTTTCTACAGCAAGCTGTCCTTTATTTCTAATATTCAAGACAGATAAATATTATCCATTATGGAATGGATAATTTTATTTCTGTTTAAAACTTAATTTATTAAAAAAGATCTATGATCTATGTATGTGTATTTTGACATGCATGCATCCTGTATTGCTGAAGCTCAGAAAACTACCCAGCTGTTATAATAATGCTGGGTAATATTTTGTCACAAGAGTACCATTATTCAAAGAGGTAGAGATGTAAAGAAAATTTGGTTTGTTATACGGTGTCAACAATATGTTGATAGAAACTGTGAAAACACACAGGCTGTAACAAGAGTGTAAACACAGGGGATTCAGTGACTTAATGCATGGTTGTAAAAATAATGGTTAGCTATTAAAAACATGCCTTACTTACATTTCTATTTGAAGAGATTAATTTGATTGAATTAACTTTTGGATCAAAGGAATTTAGATTTCATACAATTAATGAAGTCATTTGTAGACTTGGATCAAAAATTTTGACATTACATGTGGCTTGGAGATTTCATACATGCAGTTTGTTTATTAGCCAATACAGGTCCCAGGACTGCTAATCAGATTAGCGGTCCTGGTTATATCTTTAGTATTTTTTTTTAATGGAGTTTCTAAATATTGATCAAGGTGCCTTTTGTGAAATAGGACATCTGAAATCATCACAAAGAAGGAGCTCTAGTGTAATGCTATAAACATGCTGCCACTTGTTTATTTCTCAGAATAATTTTTTATATGCTCATGTCTGCTCGCTTTCTTTTATTTTAGTGAATGGTAGTGTCTAGAAAGGGTATGTCCCTTCAGGAGAGAGGTGCCAATGTCCAACCGGCCTAATTCCAATCCAGGGGGGTCACTGCGCCGTTCACAGAGGAACACTGCTGCGGCCCAGCCACAAGACCACACAGCAGCTGGAAGGTGAGTCTGTCTGCATGTTTGCTTTATACTTTCTCAATTAATAAAATCCCTGTCTGCTTTTCTTAATTAAACCAAGCAGCAAGACTGATGTTTGTTCGAGTAGAGTTTTCACTTTTGTAAACGCTGTTGGAAACTTTACTGATTGGTGAATGGCTATGTATGTGCCTTTACAAAAAAAGACATGCGTTGCTTTCTTTTTATAGGCAGATGAAGTAAACTCTTATTTAAGCTTTTTTTTTTCTTTTTCTTTTACTGGTTACTCCAGAGGTGCTGGTGACGAAAAGAATTGGCATTTTTGTCTTAAGTCACTTTATGGATTCATAAATTCTTTTTATGTGGCCTTTTTCCAGAAACCCACACTGTTCCTTGCTCTTTTAATGTCCAACCTTACAGGTTGCAGTCAGAGCAGGTAAAACATAAACCAAATTCCCCACCTGAAAGTAGAAGACCTAATTCTAAGGCTCCCAAAGCCACTGCCAGCTCAGCCACTGGCCAGTCCAGAGGGCACAGCTCAAGAAGGTACCCCTATTTTCTACTTGGTGCTTAGTGTATATGTGTCTGAGGTTGAACTGCATCTTTCTTTGCAACTTGTATTTTACACATTTGTGCTTTTAGTTTGGAAAAATCTCTTTTAATTAATTTTTCTGATTTAAAAAATTCCACTAGATGATTTTCTTTTATTTTTTTACTGCCTTACAGAAGCGGTCTTAACCTATCAGTGGGTTCATTAGTGCTGCAAGACGACTCACAGGCTGCCGGAACATCCGAACAGGAACGACCAGGCCACCAGTCAAAGAGTGAGGGCACCAGAGGGCTTAAACGAAGTGACGCTCCTGACCAAATTAGCGTCCTTGGACCCACCCCTTCCAAGAAGCCCAAATCAGTCCCACCACCCAAAAGTAATACCTCAGAGACCAAGAAAGGCCCAGCTAAGTCCAAGAAGAGACAGTCTTCTTCAGAGGCACCTGCATCCACAGGTCGAAATCAAAGCAAGAAGAGTGTGGCCAGCTCGGCCTCTCCAGTCCAGAAACGGAAAAAATCAGACTCTTTCCCAGGTCTAAGTAGCACCGCTGGGTCTCTACCCAATTGTACTGAAGGCAGAACTGCAAAACCAACCAAGCTGGCGTCTAAATCGGCCGCCTCAGCCAAAGCTGGGTGTAGCAACGTGACAGACTCGTCCTCCTCTGCCTCCTCCTCTTCTTCTTCCTCTACCACAGGCACCAACAGTGCTGCTACGCAGGGCGCTCGTTTAAAGCAGGGAAAAGATCAGACAAAAGCTCGTCGTTCCAGATCAGCATCTAGTCCCTCTCCGCGTCGCAGTACACGAGACAAGGAGCAGGCCAAAACCGCCAGCTCTTCAAAGTTTGACTGGGCAACACGTTTCAACCCCAAAGTAAACCTGCCAAAACCCAAACTTTCCTTACCTGGAACTTCCAAAACTGAGACCTCCAAACCTGGGCCATCTGGACTACAAGCTAAACTCGCAAGTAAGTTGTGTGAAAATGAATTTGTTTGTGTATAGCAAGAGGTAGAGGTATAATACTTTTTTATTGGTTGATTGAAGATTAGTTCATTATTATGGACCTGGATAGTAGATTAATGTGTCAGTCTCAGTTATAAACGTCCACCAAAACCACTAGAATCATGTGTCTATAATGGCTCCAAGGATTAAATTTGCTAAAGCTCATCTACACCACAAGGCAAAAACAGATATGGACCAAATTGTAAATTCAGATAAAAGGTTCTTCGTGTGACGCATCTCAGATTTCACAAATGTCCTACTCTCCATTATTCCAGTTGCTTTGCTTTTTTATGTTTAAAAAAAGCAACTAATAATCTTGCCCACATACAAAAAAATTGCATTGACTGGTACATTATATTTACACATACT